CTATAATGGTTCTCTGAAATTTCTGGTCCTTTGTAGCTCTTAATAAGTTTGGTATTTTATCTGTCTCTACTAAACATTGATCCGCCACCCTTAAGCTAACCAGGTGAATCATATGTTGCTTTCCTCTGTCACTCTTAATTTCAATCTATCCAGTGAGTACCAATTTTTCCAAACCATCTTTCCTCATTATTTACCTCAGAAATTTCAACATTCTCTTCCCGTTGGTAAGTATAACTATCCGTTTTGCTTTCACTGTCTCTAGAACGTTGTTGTTGTTCACATGTTCGGCCTGTGTCATTCTCAGCATCCTTCTGTAGAACCATAGTGGGAAAGCCATTAATTTTAACGCAGTTCCGTCTCTATAAACACCATTGTTGTCATATAGAAGCCTGAGAAATAGCTCCGATTACACTTATATATATATATATATATATATATATATATATATATATATATATATATATATATATTAACGGATTTAAAATATGTTTTTTCGCTACACAGTTCTAACCATGTTTCAAAAATGGAAGCTAAAAGCTTCGAATTTAATTTTGTAATTAAATTAAAGACATTAGTTCCATTTCATCCTCAAGGAATTTTTGAGTTACTTATTTTAAAATTACTGGGTTTTATAGGCACTGCAAAAATTCATAATTCACGTTTCCAAGGATACAGAGAAATCCATTGATCCAGACAAGGGGTGTTATATATATATATATATATATATATATATATATATATATATATCAAGCCTTCACCACTTGAAACAAATGATTGTTGGTTTTCTGACAACTACATTAAAATTCTTTCCACACATGTCCGGCCGGCTACTACAAAAGAATCTACGAAACAACACCAACTTCATCTTGGCAATTGGAATGTATGAACTCTCCAGGACAACAACTCAACACCAGCAAAAAAAAAAAACAAAACGACAGTGTTCCTGCTACACTTAGATACAATACATTCTCTTGTACTGTTTGTGGTCTCTTGTGCAATTCTCGAGCCAGTCTCAAAACTCATGCTCGTCAAAGGCATGCAGATAATTAGTTCGTGGTCGTCGGAATCTTATACGTCGAACTCGACGGAGAGTCCATATATATATATATATATATATATATATATATATATATATATATATATATATATAGTCATATTGACAGAAACATTAGCAGGATTCATAATATTTTTTTTTACGTTTGTAAATTTCTCAGCAAGACAGATTCCTATTTGAAGCATAATTTTGTCGATACCACATCTCAGTGCGTTTTCGTCGTTACATTACAAAATTATTTATAAAAAATGCTTTAACCGCCATTACACTAGCCATGATGGGTGCAATCGAATTTATTGCTTTCTTTTCTGAAGACCTGTTATGAACACAGCATTCAGAAAAAAAAATCATATCTAAATCTATATATTTTGCAAGATTACTTACCGACTGGTGCCATTTGATACGCTGATGTATTTTTCCGCGGCTGAGATCTGGAATAATTGTGTTCAATAGGATAACTGATCTCTGTTATTCTGAACCAAAAGTGAATCATTCTCTAAAAGACCTGGTTGCGATAAATACAAAAAAAAGAAAAAAAAGAAATGAAAGCAAGGTAATCATATTTGGAAAGCGATTCTTGGTACTTCTATCCAATTACGTAATAACATGAATAAAACGTTTTTCGCCAACTGAGTGAAACACGTATCTCTGTAGAATGGCAGTCAACCTGAAAAATATTAACGCTATTAATAAAATAAAACGATGTTGTAGGATGTTCTGCATTGAATGAAGAATATGTAAAGGCGTTCGAGAATTTTACATCAATTTCATAAATGTGAAATATCAGTTTTGGAATGTTGTAGATTTGAATTTTCAAATAGGGCTTATTAGAAAAACACAATCTTAAGCGCCTGTGTTTGAAGCAAATTCCCTATAAAATAAGGGATGATCTTATTGTCACCAATGTATGTCAAAAGATCATTTTACAGAAATACAAAATCGGAGGGTGGGGGTAGGCTCTCATAATGATAATAGTTGTCAAAATAAAATCTAGAAATGTGTTGGTAGCTAGATAAGAACTGATCGATAGAGAGATAAAGCATATGATTAGATACAGATAAATAGATAACAAACTGTGTGCCATATATATATATATATATATATATATATATATATATATATATATATACACCTAGTGAGCCAGACAAACCTACCCTAGGTTTAGGTTATTAAACGGATCGTCAGGAAAGTTTGGCCAAACTTTCCCCTGACGATCCGTTTAGGTGAAACCCAGGTAGGTTTGTCTGGCTCACTAGGTGTATCTAGGTCTGCTCTACCGTTGTATTGAGCTCTTTTGTTAGTTAGTTGTTACTCGTATCGGGGTTTTTCTTTGGGCTCAGACCTGCATCTGTGCGATTTTTTGTCGGCAGAAGTCCATGTTTGTAGCTCTTTCTTTTTTTAAAACCTTTTTTCCCTCGAGATTGATTTGATTAGCAAATCAAAAATTGAGGGTTTTTCAAAACGAGTCTACCTATATTTATATATATATATATATATATATATATATATATATATATATATATATATATATATATATATATATATATACTTTACAATTGGTATTAAGATATCTACGAATTTGAATTTGAAAATTTGCAAGATTTTTAAAACTGTTTATACTACAACCTGATACCATAAACAGTTTCAAAAACTCTGCAAATTTAAAAATTAAAAATGAAAAATTGTAAGCAAAAAATGGTCATTTACCAAAGTTATCTTAATTCTAGTTGTAAGGAAAATTTGCTCTGTTTAATAAAATATACATTGAGCGCTCTTTTGAAGGTCAGTTTTAACATATTTAAAATTCTATGTTGTGTTAATAGGACTCGCCTGATTATACTAACAGATATATATATATATATATATATATATATATATATATATATATATATATATATATATATATATATATATAATATTAGTGGTAAATAAACATACATATGCAAAATATATAAATACCCATGCATGTATATTTTTAGAATAAAAATTCCAAGAGGAAGAATCCAGGTAGAACTCAATATCCAGGACAGAGTAAGTTTAAATAGGTGTATATAATTGTATAGAAATGTAGGTTTTAGGTATATATGTTTATGTGCATGTATGCGTATGTCCGTATGTACTATATGTGTGTAAATGTGTATATGTATGAAGGACTGGATGCGGATGGATGTATGTGTGTATATATGCATGTATGTGTGTGTATGTATTTTTGTATATTTTTATATTTTTGGTTTTTATATATATGTGTATATTTACATCTGTGTGTATGTGTGTATATGTAAGGGTGTCTATATATGTATATGTGTATATGTGTGTATGTATATATATATATATTTATATGTATTTGTGTATGTGTGTATGTGTATGGATGTGCATGTGTGCATATGTATGTGTATATGTATGTGTGTATGTATGTGTGTTTATGTATGTGTATGTATGTATACATATATATATATATATATGTGTGTGTGTATATGTGTACAGATGGGTATATGCATGTGTGCATATGTATGTATGTATATGTATGTGAAAAGTGTGTGTATATGGATATACATGAATATGTGTATGTGTAGATATGTGAATATATTTTTATATGCGTGTACATGGGTATATATATATGTGTGTATGTGGGTACACGCCTATGTGTATATACCTGTATATGTTATTGTGTATGTGTGTATTCGCATGTGTTTTTGAACATGAAAATATAGGTCCTTGCTGGATTCGATAATATATTATATTTATTTTTTATATGTTTATATTTGATTTGTAACCTGTAGTCGATATTAAATTTGTCAAATTTTCTCAATTACAAAGCGGCCCTTTTAGTAAACGCAATTTCATTTTCGTTCGCCCCATCTCTCTCCCCCACCTCGTCCTTCCTTCCCACTTACTTTAGATTGTCTAAGATGTTTAGATTGTTTCTCTTACTTAAACCCCGTCCACCCATCTCTCCTAAAATTCTCTCTGTTAAGGTTTAATCTCCCTCCTCCTCATACTTAAACTCTCTCTAAATTCCGTTTTTATTTCCGAAGTTGTTTTTTCTGTTTTCTTTTTGAATTTGTAGGTTCTGATGAATTGGATCGTATTTACGATTCCAATGGAATAAATTATGACCATGGAATATTAGTGTTTAAGCCTTTTTTTTTATTATATATATATATATATATATATATATATATATATATATATATATATAGTTTTAAGTTGTGGTATATTTATAGGATTAAGTGCTCAATATCAGAGACAGAGCGTATGTAGATATAAGCGTGAATATTGAATTCAACACTCACGTGCGACAAACTGTTTCATGCTAAACCCAATCATCAGGCCTAGTTATTGCGTGACATGAAGATCGCGTTTAGCATGAAAACAGTCAGTCGCCTCTCATGGCGACATTCTGTTTCATGCTTAAGAGCATCTTAAGCCATGAAAATGGCGGTCAAGCATAAAACAGATTGTTTACACACTGTGTTAGCCTCAGTAACGACTCTTACACAAACTCTATCCCTGATACTGTGAACTTTTACCCTATTAATATAGTTTAAGCATACCTTGTGTCTAAAGAAAAACGGAAAATAATCCAAAACATTTTATTTATATATTTTCTACTTCTTTGGTAATTTTTAATTCTCGTTTTGAACTCTGATTTGCATTTTCATTGTATGAATTGTTGATTAACTAATGAAAAATAAGGCTTTCTGAAATAGATCACAAATTAATTAAAACAGAAATTATTTTTTACACGGTTACTATTCCTGAGTTAAATCATAAAATGTAAACAAAAATATATCATAATACCACATCCATTCATTATGGAATTTGTGGAGGAATCATTGTGAAGATATCTTCTCAAGTAGGCAAGATTCTGAGTTATTTAATTTTATTCATATTTTAAGTGCACGGGCAGAATATCTTCCCATTGAACCCTAACACACATAATTAGTAAACTTTAATTTTATCTATCTATCTATCTATCTATCTATCTATCTATCTATCTATCTATATTTCAGTCTGTTCATATCTATCTATCTATCTATCTATCTATCTATCTATCTATCTATCTATCTATCTATCTCAGTCCGTATCTATCTGTCTCATTCTGTTCATATCTATGTATCTGTCTATCTACCTATCTATCTGTTTATCTATGTCTATATATATAGACATAGATAATATATATATAGTTGCTTGGGGTGAATGCTTAAACACACACACACACACACACATACATATATATATATATATATATATATATATATATATATATATATATATATATATGTATGTGTGTGTGTGTGTGTGTATTTAAGTATTTCACCCAAGAAAGGCGGTAGTGCCACTACCACGCAATGGGGTACAGAGAGTGAAAGTAAGAGTAAAAAGAGGTGATTGAGGGACGGATAAAGCAGAAGGTTTTGGATGAAGATCAAGGCATCAGAATAGTAGATTTGTAGATTTGAAGGATGGACTCAGATGAGAAAAAAAACATGTGGCCTGACACAGAGAACCAACTTTCCTAGCTGTAAATATAGCTATTGATTCTCTCTCTCTCTCTCTCTCTCTCTCTATATATATATATATATATATATATATATATATATATATATACCAAACACCTCTGAATGAAACATACTTTTAGAAAATAATGGAATCCCTTGTAAAATTAAAAGGAAAAACCAACGCTCAATAACATTAACTACTAACACGGCTCCAATGTGCTGACCGTGTTTGGGAAATAAAACTTTCCGTAACTTTAGACACATACATAAGTAAATCCACACATTCAGTTAAAAATGGAAAAAAAAGAAATAAAATTCGTCCCTGCTAATGGCTAAAATAATAGCCGAAAGCGCTCCGATATGCAGAACTTTGTACTTTGTGTCCAGTAATGAAAACATTTGTACGAACAAAAGAAAGATTAAATAAAAAGCTTAATAGCAAATAACTTGTCTGTCGCCTTTAAATGAAACCTGTATAAAAGAGGGATTGCTGCCCAAATACAAAATATATACAGGGTGCGATGGATATGTTGTCGTCTAAATTACGAAAAAAATGAATTTAACACTGAAATCTCATTTTGGCAGTTATATTTACGAAAATTACACAAAAATATCTCGAAATACTAAATTAATCCAATCAAATCGCCATTGGCTTCAACCACGTTATCCAGGTGTTTTCGGAATCTACTGCAACTCTTCGGGACGGTCTCCTTGTTTAAGTTGCTGAATGCTGACATAATCCTTGCCTTCAGTTCATCTAAGGTGTTAAAATGAGTTCTGTTGCTCTCTCGTATTGATGCGTATCACACATAATAATTAAACGTCTGCGTTCTGGGGAGTTAGGTGGCCAGATGTAAGGGATGGTGTGGTCATAGCAATTGCCTGACAGCCATGACTGTGTTCTCCTGCATTTGCGGTATGGTGCAGAGTCCTGTTGCAAGATATAGTAGCCACCCTCTTGACCCAGGGAAGCACTTAGCTCCTTGAGGCTCTTGATGTGTTGAGTCTGAGGCCCTCACCAAAAGATTCAGGAGTTCTTTTATTATCAGATTTATCAGAATGAATTTTTCGAGTTGCTGTCTCTTTGTAATCACCATTTGAATCATCCAACTCTCAACTGATTTTTATTTAATATGCCAAAAACTTTCATCCCTCAGTGTCCTCTATAGTTAACCTCTTATTTATGCGAATTCATAAAAAAATTATTTATGAATTATTAATATATATTGAATGGCGTTTTGTTTTTCGCCCATTTTGTTTAGTGCAACCTTTCGAGAATTTGAATAAATTTTATTCTTCTAGGTCATGGAATTTTTAGTCTTTTCCGTCGGGATGTGGTTGTAAATAGCTTAGTAGAAACTCATTTTCGTTCATTCTGCATTTGGAAATGAGCTCTGATCGTTTATTTTGTTCTATTAATTTAATTATTAGTATTTTTCTCTTCACAACGGTTATTGTTAGTGTTGTTGAAAACTGGTTCCGTGTTCCTTATTTTCCATTATATTTTGGGTTTGTTTTGTTTAGTACTCTTTAGTTGCCAGATATATTTTGATACGATTCTGTTGTTAGCATATTTTTAATTGTTAATTCTTTCTACAAGTAGCATTCTCTGTTTTCAGGGACATTCTTTTATCATTATATGCATTAATTCTTTGTTTCATGGATCTTATTTTAGCTTTGTATATTACGTTATTTTGTAAGCAGTTACCAAGGAATGGGTATTCTTAAGTTTTACGCAGTTTACAGTTAACCCATAATTATAGCACACCTTAAAACTATATTTTATAATATATATATATATATGTGTGTGTGTGTGTGTGCGTGTGTGTGTGTGTGTTCTCTTTGTAGACACGATCAAGAATTGGAGAACATTCATCCTGTTTTTTTGTGACAATGGTTATCCTTTGAATGTCATAAAACTTGTTGTTGAGAGGAAAATTAAATGCATCAAGGAAACAGCAATGTCTGGTCGCAACCTGTGCCCCGTTTATGTAAAAATTACCGTTGGTGAGTGGTAAGTGCAAAAAACTAACCGTCAGAATGACGGCTTGTGTTACATCAGGTCTTTCTACTGTTGTCTTTTGTGTTATTTTTTTCTTAGACTAATTAGGTGTTTGCTTCATTTGTCAAAATGTTTTGCCTTATTTTGAATGTAGCCACATCGTGTATAAACTTCTAATATCAATGCGAAGCTGAATACTCAGGGCATAGCAAATCAACAAGTGGAAAGTCAAAGTGGTCAGCACGTTGCTGATACTATTAGACTCGGCGGTTCAAGTCACTCTTTGAGATTAGTTCAGTCGGAGCATTATTCGGACATTGGCAACTCAGACTTTGCAAATAAAGATATGAAGATTTTTTCTCAGTTCTTCACAGAGTCCAGTCTGGTTATCATTTACGTCTACTTGAAGACTATATATATATATATATATATATATATATATATATGTGTGTGTGTGTGTGTGTGTGTGTGTGTGTGTGTGTGTGTGTGTGTGTGTGTGAATGAAGTAAACTTGCTGATACACTTCTTTATTATTTTCTCTTCAATACCGACGTGGGTGACGCTTTGGGAATACCAGGTGCTGTAAGCTTGGATCTGCAGGTGGTGTAATGAATATTGACTCGGACTTTTTGTCGGGGAGAGGATTTCCTATTTCAGTTGCCTTCATTACTTTTTCTTACGCTCAAAATGCCTTGGGAAAGGTGTGAATCCATCTCTTTTCCAGCTATAAGTTAATCAATAAGATTAATAAAACGTGCAGTACTAGTTTTTTTGTTTTTTTACTTTCTTAAAATATTTCCTTGCTTTAACTCTACAAAGAGTTAATAAACTATAGAAAATGAATTAATCAATCAATATATTTGTTTCTGATACCAAAATATTAATCGGCTTGTCACCGGTGTGTATCTGCCCATTTTAGATCATGTCTAATTTGATTATTATTCAAATTTTAGATGATTCTTTGAAATGAGCTAATAACCTAAATTGTTTAAACGCAATAATTTTTATTAAATTACTATTCCCGGATCAACTAAAAATTGCCAGTATCGTTAAAAATAATGTTAAAAAGTGTAGTGAGGTCAATTTAAATATTTAAAAATCTGAGCAAAACAGATTACCTCGACTTTGTTTCGGGCTGTTTTTCTCTACTTGCCTGTGTTTTCTCAAAGCATCTTCGCCACTTTATCTTCAGGACTTTATTTCCTGTGTCTCTTCTATCTGGTAGCCTTCGGCGAAGGCCAAAAATAAACTATTATCTCCTAGATTGCAATCTATCCTTCTATTTTTTTCTCTTTTTTCTTAGGTTCTATTTCGCCTTTTTCTTGTCATACCAAAAGTTGATTTCGTTTCTACACTGCTTGGTTCAAGGATTAAATTCATTCCCTATATTTTTGCAACATCTGATGACCTTCTCTTGGACTTCAGTTTGGAATTGTCACCTTCCAATTTTCGTTTCCATTCTGATTTCAACATAGAACGGAGGCAGCTGTCCAGATGTCACTTTCTTATAGAGTTTAAAACCATCCCCGAGACCTTGTTGGAGAAGAATAATTATCCACACTCAAAGCTTTCTCTCACAGGTAGGATGTGCTAGTGCTCACTGCAAAATCCTCATTTTCAATCCACACATTCCATTCCTCACTTTCCAATCGACACATTCCATCCCTCATATTCCAATCCACACATTCCATTCCACAGTTTCTAATCCACACTTTCCATTCCTCATTTTCAATCTACATTTTCCATTTCTCACATTCCAACCCACACTTTCTATCCCTCACTTTCCAATTCACACTTTCCATTCCTCACTTTCTAATCCACACTTTCCATTCCTCATTTTCAATCCACATTTTCCATTCCTCATTTTCAATCCACACTTTTCATTCTTCACATTCCAATCCACACTTTCCATCCCGCACTTCCCTAACCTTGATATTGTCTGTGAATTCCATCGACAAGTAGTAAGTTCTACTCAAAAGACATCTTCCCGGGAACCACTGCTCTGTGGAATAGACTCACTACAGGATATTCCCCAGCCACGACAAGCTTCAAGTCTAGAGTCAACTAGAATCTTCCCCATCTATCCATATATACTACTAACGTAACCCTCTACCTCGAATGGCTCTTGGGTCTTGTACAGTGTGAACGTTACTTTAAGAAAACAAACAAGAAATAATTATACTCCTGCCTTGTTTCACGAAAATATTGTAATTATTCCATATACTTTCTGGTATATTATATATATATATATATATATATATATATAAACAAAAAACATTCTAACCGCCGTTTTTCCCCATTTTCTTTTTGCTGATCAATTTTCTACTCTGCAGTGACTCATTGATTGAATTCGTGATTTTCAGAAAATGAGCTAAACGTATATATGTGAAACATAAGGCGTAATCACCAAGCCAGTGTTATACACAGAAAACACAAATGTCAATGTATCGGGGTATTATTAGTATTTTTAAAGGTACTAAATATAAGATATAGGGAAAAAGAAAAAAATCTTTATGAAGGTCTGGATATGGCCAAACGTGGCTTTCCACAGCTTCCTATATCTTGTATTACTAAGCAAGATTTGTATCCTTCATTTTTCTCCCTGTTCAATTCCTACTATCAATTAACACAAGTTTCCTAGGTATGTCATTCATTGTTTCCCTCGCTCCTCGTTTCAGATACTCGAAGGCCAAATTCTTCATTAAGTGTTCCCAAAAATGTCAAATGTTTCTGATCTTAATTAAAGGTTGTCATTTTCTTTTCATTTTCCTTAAAACTTCCTTGTTGCTCAAATGCTCCGGCCATTATATTCGCACTATTATAATTTAGAACCACATCTCTGTTTCATAGGGGCCCTCTTCATTGTTCTGCATTCATTACCATACAGAATATGTGATATTACATAGCAGCTCAGCAATCATTTCGTTATTTTCCAACAAAATGTTCCTGTTCCGTAACATGTGGTTTTCTTTCTCCAAGACATTTACAATGAATTCTTCGGCTAGAGAATACGGTACCTGTTTTGTGATCCGTTATAGATGAAATGAAATAATTTCTATAGAAATGGATGTTTTGTTTATTAATCCGACATATTTTTTCACTTTGAAAGTTACTTTACGTGGATACTCATATTTAAATAGACGTTCCGTTTATTTATCAAACAATAGATTTATTTCTTTTCGTCTAGCGTCTTGAATATTCGAGAAATCTTATTAAATAAAATATGCCCTCTCCGGTAGGATTCGAACCTGCGTACAGTGGTTAGAGGGAACCGTCACTATATCCAATGGGATCTAACCGACTGAGCTACGAAGATGTTTTGCCAATCAAGCACAGCTGAATAGTACCTTAAAGCGAAGATCTTTTCATCAAAGTGTCGTGAAATGTTCATATATACCCAGTTCTGTATTCAAGGAGTTTGGAAGTGGAGTTTGGTGAGTGGGGATTGGAAAATGGGGATTGGATAGTGGGGGTTGAAAAGTGGAGAATGTCAAGTAAGGTTTTGGAAACTGTCGATTGGAAAGTCGGGATTGGAAAGTGAGGATTTCGAAAGGGAAGATTTGAAAGTGATGAGTTGAAAGTGGGTACTGGAAAGAGAGGAATGGAAATTGAGGGTTGGACAGTGAGTATTAAAACTTCGGGATTTGGAAGATGAGAATTGGTTAGTGAGGATTGGAAAGTAAGTAGTTACTAGGCGGGGATTGGAAAGTGACAAATGCAAAGTGAAAGTTTGGCAAGTCAGGATTACAGTGAGGATTGGAAAATGTGGATTGGAATGTGTGGATTAAAAAGTGGGTATTGGAAAGTGATGATTGGAAAGTCGGGGATTGGAAATTGAAGATTGGAAAGTGAGGATTGGAAATTGGTGATTGAAATGTGAGGATTGGAATCAGAGGATTTTAAAGTGAGTTTTGAAAGTCGGGGTTTGGAAAGTGAGGTTTGGATAGGGGAAATTGGAAAGTGACGATTAGAAAGTGGGGATTGTTTAGTGAGGTTTTCGGAAGTGAGGTTTGGAAAGTGAGTATTGGAAAGTGATGATTGGAATGTGCGGATTGGAAATTGGGGATTAGAATGTAAGGATGGGGATATGAGGATTGAAATTGAGAATTTAGAATGATAGGATTGCAAAGAGAGGTTACGAATTTGGGAATTGGAAAGTGAGCAGTGGAAAGTGAGGTTTGGAAAGTGATTATTGGGAAGTGTTCATTGGAAACCTATGATTTGAAGATTAAGGTTTGGAAAGAGAGGATTGGAAAGTGGGAAGTGTGAACTAGAAAGTGTGGATTGGAAAGTGTGGATTAGAAACTGTGGATGGGAAATTGAGTATTGTATATTGCATGTGAGGACTGTGATGTGAGGATATGGAAAGTAAAAATTGGAAAGAGAGTACTGGAAAATGGAGATTGGAAAGTGAGCATTGGAAAGTGTGGATTGGAATGTGAGGATTGAGAGTTAGAATATCAGGAGTGAAAAGTGGGGATTGGAAAGTAAGGATTGGATAGTGGGGATTGGAATGTAATGAAAATGTGGATTAGAAAGTGAGATTTAAAAAGTGAGTATTGGGAAGTGAGGATTGGAAACCGAGGAAAGTGAGAACTGGAATGTCAGGATTTGAAAATGCGGATTAGAAAATGGGGTCTGGAAAGTGACGATTGAGGGTGAATATTGAAACGTGAGGATTGGAAAGTGAGGTATGGAAAGTGGGGATTGGAAAGTAAGCATTGGAAAGTGGGGATTGGAAAGTAAGCATTGGAAAGTGGGGATTGGATAAGGGGGAGTGGGATTTGAAGATTGGAATGTGAGAATTCGGAAAGTAAGGATTTAAAAGTGATTTTGAAAAATGAGGTTTAGAAAATTACACTTGGATAGTGAGAATTGTAAAGTGAGAATAAGAAATGTGAAGATTAGTAAGGGAGTATAAAGAAGTGTGGAGTAGAAAGTGAACAGTGAAAAGTGGAGATTAGAAAGTGAGGGATGGAAAATGTGGATTGGAAAGTGAGGGTTGGAAAGTAGGGATTCGAAAGTGAGGGTTGGAAAGTAGGGATTGGCAAGTGAAGAATGGAAATTTGAGATTGGAAAGTGGGAATGGAAAGGAGGGATTGGAAAGTGAGGAATGGAAAGTGTGGATTGGAAAGTGAGGGATAGAAAGGGGGGTTGGAATGTGAGGAGGTGGAAAGTGTGGATTGGAAAAATAAGGAATGGAAAGTATGGATTGGAAAGTGGCAGATGGAAAGTGGGTATTGGAAAGTGTGTATTGGAAAGTGAGGAATGGAAAGTGTAGATTGGAAAGTGAGGGGTGGAAAGGTGTGGTTTGAATGTGAGGAATGGAAAGTGTGGATTGGAAAGTGAGGGATGGAAAGGTGTGGTTGGAATGTGAGGAATGGAAAGTGTGTATTGGAAAGTGAGGGATGGAATGTATGGATTGGAAAGTGAGGGATGGAAAGGGTGGGGGTTGGAATTTTAGGGATGGAAAATGTGGATTGGAAAAGGAGGGTTTGAAAGTGGGTATTGGAAAGTGAGGGAAAGAAAGTGCGGATTGGAAAGTGAGGTATGGAAAGTGGGGATTGGAAAGTGTGAAATGGAATGTAAAGAATGGAAAGTGTGGATTGGAAAGTGAGGGATGGAAAGGGGGATTAGTAAGTGAAGTGAGGAAAGTGGGGACTGGAAAGTGTGGATTGGAAACTAAGGAATACAAAGTCTTGATTGGAAATTGAGGTATGTAAAGTGTGGATTGGAAAGTAAGGAATGGGAAGTTTTGATTGGAAAATGTTGATTGGAAAGTGTGGATCGGAAAGTGAGGGATGGAAAGGGTGGATTGGAAATTGAAAGTAAAAATGGAAACTGTGGACTGGACTTGGAAAGTGGGGACTGGAAAGTGTTGATTGGAAAGTGAGGGATGGAAAGTGTGGAATGGAAAGTGAGGAATGGAAAGGGGGGATTAGAACGTGAGGGATGAAATGTGTGGATTGAAAGTAAAAAATGGAAAGTGTGGATTGGAAAATAAGGAACGGAAAGTGTGGATTGGAAAGTGAGGGATGGAAAGTGTGGATTGGCAAGAGAAGTGTGGCAAGTGGGGAGTGGAAAATGTGGAATGGAAAGTGTCTATTGGAAAGTGAGGAATGATTAGTGGGGATTGGAAAGTGAGGGATGGAAAATAAGAATGGAAGGTAGGGTTTGGAAAGTGAAGATTCGAATATTGAGATCGGATATTTGGGATTAGAAATTCAGGATTGCACACTCGGATTGGAATGTAGAGATTGGAAAGATAGAATTGGAGTGAGGCGTTTGGAAAATGAGATTTGG